GTGTGCTGTAGGTTAAATTAGAAATGAAAAAAAGAGGGTAGAGCAAACGGAGTACGAAAGCTGTTCAGGACTGACACAGAGCCAACTTTTCATCCTTTCAACACGGCTCTCACGCCCAAGGAAGTAGATGGAATGGGATGATGAAGAGAAGGAAAAGGAAAGGGGGAGAAAAAAGACAATGGAAGATTGTTTGGGTCTCAGTCTCCGTTTCCAAAGACCCCCTACGACAACAGTGAAGAAGTGATTGGAGGGTTGGTACTGAATGAATCGTACATTTGATAATATTGCTATGTTAAATTTATCATTGTTTATTTCTGTATTTTTAAAAATTATCCTGCGTCAACATCTAAGGTCATTCATTGGCGGCATATTCAAAATATAGCGATACGAAGGCCGTTGATGACTGACACAAAGCCAGCCTTTCATCATTTCAGTACGGCTCTCATTCCTTAGGAAGTGAACAGGAGAAAGGGATGAAGAAAAGGAAAAGCAAATTGGAGAAGAAAAGACTATACAAAATTAGTTGAGGCATAGGCTTATCCCCTACCTCGGGCCTCAGTCTCCGTCTTCTAAGCCTCCCCACGACAGAGTGAACAGAAGAAAGGGATAAAGAGAAGGAAAGGGAAAAGGGAAGAAAAGACCACGTAAAATTAGTTGAGGCGAGGACTACAGTCCAAGCGTTCCAAGGTAGGGATGATCCCCTACATTGGGCCTCATTTTTTTTATTTATTTTCTAATAAAATCAGCCGCGTCAACATCTAAGGTCATTAGCAGCGTATTCATAATAGAGTGATAGGATGAGGCTTGGGGCGAAACCCTCGGGTGAGAATTTTTTTTGGTTCATAAGAAAATGACACAAAGCCAGCAATGGTAAAGTATTGTGGCGAAATGGGTAAAGAGTTAAAGATTAGAATAAAATGTCTTGGGTGTCAAAGATTAGAAAACGTTATAAGATAGTATGGTAGTGAAAAGGGAAAAGAGAGAAACAAATAAACTAGAGTAGAAAGGGAAGGGTTAAGAGGGTAGGGCGATTGAGTGATATGTAGTGTATCTGTGACTGGGGAAGGAGTATGGACATTGTTCAAGGAAAACAGTGGTAGTTGTTGGGGAAGTAGGAGGAGAATTCGGGGGATAAGAAAAGGGACTGGGGAAGATGGTGAAGTATTAGTGACAGAAGGGATTCGCATGAGCATTCAGGTGAGTGCATTAGAGAGGATGGGCTGTGTTGGGAGAGTGTAGGAGGAATATCGGCAAATAATTTAAATGTGAAGGGAATAGGAACAGACAAATTGGAGGGTGGATGAAGAAGTTTTGGATGTCTTCAAGAGTTTCTGGAGGGCAGTTGGGTGAAGAGCACTGAGAAACAAAGGTCCTCTTGTGAGGAGGAGAAGAAGGGATAGATATCTGAGGAGGAAGATGTAGGGAAGGGTGTGGTAAAAGGTGGAATGGAACGTATAGGTTGCCTGGTGCGACAAGCAATGTGAGGAGGAGGGGTAGCTATCGGGAAAGTGGTAGAGATAGGAATATCTGGATTTAGACTGGAAAATGAATTTTATTGGGAGAGAGGGTGAGTAAAGGTAGGATGGTTCAAGGTAAAGGAATACTGGGGGAAATGCTGAGACATCCTGAGAAAATAGGAGAGGAACAGAGTGAAGAACAGTTTTGGAATAAGTAGATAGAGGAAAACCTCGTCGCCATGCTTCCTGTCTGGTCTTATGTAGAGGGAGGCCTAGCTTGAATCTGAGAACCGCTACCTCACATTCGAGCTTATAGATAGGGCAGCTCCTATAGAATACATTATGGGAGTCACCACAACTGTCACATGTACATGACTGAGCAGAGCAATTTGAATGGTCATAACCAAGTTGGGCATATAGATGGCAGCGGGCTGTGGAGCGACAATGTTTGGCCGGGTGGCCAAAACGCCATTTCTAACATTGTCGAGGAAAGTGTCGATATGGTCGGACATGGCAGGGCACTCCAACAATATAAACTTCATGGGGGAGGTCATGTCTACAGAAGCTAATCTTGACAATATTGGCATGGGACTTACGCTGACTTCTCGGAGGAATAGTTCATCATTGTACTGCCACTGCATCATAATCAGCTAGGCAAGCAAGTAGGTAATTTTTACAGTTTGATCAGTTCTTGTAGATAGGACAAGCAGTCGGGGAGACGGAAACGGTTCCAGTACAAGTATTAAGAGAGGGGTAAGGTTCGGCAGGAATGGGTTTGCCAGTGAGGTCAGTTAAGGTAGATAGTGCACGAGCTTGGGATTCAGAAGTAACTGTGACAAGGCGTGAGCGATCGGAGCAACTGCGAGAGGAAACTTTGCCTACTTGTCTTTGGAGACATTGCTGAAAGAAGGGTATTTTCTGAGTAAGGGCCTGTGGGGGAATAACAAAAGTGTATTCTGAAGGTTGAGTAATGATCCGGGTGGGTCGTTTGGAATGGATAGAGTTGTCATTAAACACTGAAGAGGGGGTATTAGTATCAGTGGTCGAATCCGTGGTCAAAGGAGGGGCAGGGGTCGGGAAAAATAAAATAAAATTGAGGGAGGCTAGATGATGAAGGGGCAAACCTCAGTGCCCCTATTAAGGGTAAAGATCTTTATTATTGGCCACGGTGAGCTTGAATAAGATGGGAAAAAGAAACAGTCTACCCCTCAGGGTCTCAATAAGGGTTAAGGGCTAGGCGAATACCGCGCCCATGGCTCCTGGAGGCCGTTCATGACTGACATAAAGCCAGCCTTTCATCCTTTCAGCACGGCTCTCACACCTTAGGAATAGGGCAGAAGAAGGGATGAAGATACGGAAGAGGAAAGGGGGGGAAGACCATGCAAAATTAGGTGAGGCGAGGGCTTACGTCTGAGGCAGGGGTGAGCTTCTACATTGGTCCTGTCTCCATTACCTAAGACACCCCCCCTCCCATGAGGAAAAGGAAGAGGAAAAAAAGATGCAAAATTAGTTGGTTAATGGTTGGAACAAATAAATGTGTTGGATGTCAAAGATCATACAGCAATATAGTAAAATATTGTGTCGAAATGCGAAAAAGGAGTGATCGATTAGGATAAAATGCACTGTAGGATAGAAAGGTAGTGAAAAAGGTAAAGTGGGGAGAACAAGTGGAGTATAGTGGGGATTTGTCAAAGGGGAAGGGATTAAAGAGTTTAGGGCGATTAGAACAAATCGAGAGTATCTATGTATCTGAGGTAGGAAGAGTGCCATGTATGAGGGAAACTACAGAAGAGCGATTAGGAAACAATCATTGGGTAATATGGGTAGAAATGGTAGTTGGAGAAGTAGGAGAGTAGTCCAGAGAATGAGATAAGGTAACTGAGGAAGGTGAAGTAGCATCAGGAAGAATGTCAGGAGAAGAAGGATCATGTTGCGACAAAAGAGAGTCCTGTAAGTATCCAGGTGGAAGTGGTAAGGATAATGGGGAAAGAAGAGGGAATCGTAGTGTATAAGGAGGAGAGGATGGAGTGTTTTGAAGGAGTGTGGGAGGAAGAAGGGTAGGGGAAATTGGAGGAGGAGGATGGATATCGGGAAATACTTTGAATGTAGAATAGGAATAGAGGGCTTGGAGGGTGGATGAGGGAGCGGAACATTCCACTGGGTCATGTTTATGAAGTTTTAGATGCTTTTAAAGGTTTCTATGGGGGACTTGAGTCGGGAGGTGGCTGTAAGAAGTAATGTATTAGTAAATGGGGTGGAATGTTTAGTTTGCCTGGTACTACAAGTTTTCAGGGAGTGGTAGAGATTGGAGTTTCTGGATTTATATTGGCAAAAGGAATTTGATTGGTGGGGAGAGGGAGTAGAGGTAGGATGGTTTGGGATAGAGGGAAAAGATATTAGGAGAGATGCTGAGACATCTTGAGAAGATGGGAGAGGAGCAGAGCAAAGTACAGTTTTGGAATAGATAGAAATAAAAATCTCGTCGACGTGCTTCCTGTCTGGCCACACGTAGAGTAAGACCTAGATAGAGTCTGAGAATTGCTTCCTCAGATTCGAGGTTGTAGGCAGGGCAGCTCCTATAAAATACAATATGGGAGCCACCGCAATTGGCACACGTGCGTGGCTGAGCAGAGCAATTTGAACAGATAGGGTACATAGAGGGCAACAGGCTGTGGAGCAACAGTTCCTCGCAGGGTAGATTGTGCACGAGCTTGGGACTCAGATATGACTGTGACAAGGCGTGAACACTCAGAACTACGAAAGAAAACATTGCAAACTTGTTTATGGTGACATTGTTGGAAGAGAAGGATATTGTCAGAGGAAGCGACTGTAGGGGGAATCACAAAGAATCGTTCCCACTTGGCTGGATAAAAAAGAGTACTCAAAAGGTTTGCAGAGGTGAAAGAAGTAGGATGAGGGCGAGAGGCAAGTATTGTGGTTTTGGAGTAAGGTAGTACTGTGGGGAGGACAATAAGGATATAGATGATTTATGGAGCACAATTTTCATTCCGTTTCGGTTTCGTTGTTTACTGGCACGGCCATATTGGATACGAGATTGGCTGGACGTTAATAGTTATATATAGTACATTTCTTGCTTCAGACAATAAAAATAATCTACAAGCTCCGTTTCGGACCGTTTTGCCTCCAATTCGGTCGTGTTCGTATGAACCCGGGCGGGTGCGTAAGAACACCAAAACGGACCGAATCGGAGGCGAAACGGAGCTGGAGATGATTGTTATCTTTTAATGCAAGAACTGTACTATATATAACTATCAAGGTCCAGCCAGTATTGTATCCAATATGGCCGCGCCAGTACGCAAACCGAAACAAGAGACTGAAAGTCATCGATTTCCAGGCCAGATAACTCAGTTTCCATTATGTGGACTTCAATAGTTATAAAAAGTACTATTCTTGCATCAAATGATAAAAATAGTATCGTAATAGCTCCGTTTCGATCCGTTTTGCCTTTGATTCGGTCCATTTCGGTGTTCTGACAGACTCGATGTATCGTAGTAATAAGGGGGTAGACAATAAAGAAAGGTAGAGTATTGCATAAGTTTATTGGAAGGAATGTATTCTGAAGGTTAAGTAATGACCTGGGTGGATGATTCGGGATGGAATCGAGGAGGGGGTATCAATATCAGTGGTCAGAGCCGTGATCAAAGGAGCGTCAGCGGTCGGGAAACCAGAAATCAAATTTAGATAGGCTAGTTGATGATGGGTCAAGCCTTAATGCCCCTAATAATGGTGAAAAAATCTTCATTATTAGCCATGGTGAGCCTGAAATAAGTGTGGGAAAGAAATAAGGGGTAGGTGCTAGGCGATCATCCAAGGGAAAACTGCCCATGGCTCCTTGGAGGCCATTCACGACTGACACAGAGCCAGCCCTTCATCGTTTCAGTATGTCTCTCACATCCTAACAAGTGGACAGAAGGGGATGAAGGAGAGAAGGAAAAGAAAAGACTATGCAAAATTAGGCGAGGCGAGGGCTGAGGTCCAAGATAGGAGTGATCCCTTACATTGGGCCTCAGTCTCTGTCTCCCAAGCCCCCAACCCTCATGATAATAACGAGCTAGGAATTGGGGTGGGTGGGGGCAAAGTAACATTTATATATTTATGTGTATATCTGTTGTACAGGTGGTGTATCTAAGCATCTAGAGGTAGCCCAGTGTCTGGGCTGATATGGTCAGACAAGGATTATCCACCAATGTAGACATTAAAGAGGTCATACCTACGGAAAGTAATTTTGGCAATGGTGGTGGGGTTCTTACGATAACCTCTAGGAAGAATGGAGTAGCACTGTACTGATATCACATCATAGTCTGTGAGGCAGGCAAGTAATTCTTCGCCATAATCTGACTAATGTTTGTTACCGATAGGGCAGTTTGTCGGGGAGATAGAGACAGTTCCGGTACAAGTATTATTGAGGAGTGGCTGCAGTGTTGAGTCGTGGTCAAAGGAGAGCCTGGGATGTGGAAACCGGGAGTTTGAATTGGTGGGGCTATTTGATGAAGGGGCAAGCATCACTGCCCCTAACAAGGGTATAACTTCTTTTTTTATTGGCCATGGTAAACCTAGACTATGTTGGGGAAAAAAACATTCCACCCCTTAGGGTCCCTCTTGAGGGGTAAGGGCTAGACAACTAAAATGGGAATACAGTGCCCATGGCTCCCTGAGGCCGTTCAGGACTGGCACAAAGTCAACCTTTCACCCTTTCAGCACGGCTCTCACACCTTAGGAAGTGGATAGTAGAAGGGGTTAGAGATGGGACAGAAACAAATAAGCAGGAGGGGAAAAAGATCATGCAAAATTAGTTGAGTCATGGGCTGAGGCCCAAGGTAAGAGAGATCCCCAGTATTGGGTCATAGTCCTCATCTGCTAATATCCTCCCCACGACAACAACAGGCAAGGGATTGGAGGGTTCATTTATTATTATGATTATTATTACCACTGATACTGTCAGTATTGCTGCTGATGTTGGCTTATGAATTGTTATCAGTACCTTCAATATCATTATTATAATTATGATGATTATCATTATCATGGTCTCTGTTAATCACTGCCATTTTGCAGTTTCATGGAGCAAGCATGCCATGTCTTCACTGAATAAAGGAAGAATCATCTGACATGAGATCTTCCTCTAGGACCTACTTAAACTAGACTATTCTAAAATAATAATAGCAATAAGTATTTATATATGATTTAATTACAACTTTTTCTAGTACTGCCACCATTGCTACTATTAATAATAATCATGACAGTTCTAAACCATAATGAAATAAATAAGATGACACTGACAATGAAAAAACAAAAAATAATAAATTCAGAAATGGCACAATGACTTTCCATCTTTTAAAGTTAGGATTAAAGTAAATACAAAATCTTAACTGCTAATAACCTGCATATAATTTGACTGTTTATTTCACTTACTTATTTTCACTTATGTTTTCTAATGCGTTTTCCACTGAGACTAAATACAGAAAACTGAAAACTTTGAGATAGTGAATAATAAACAGTATGGTTTTTAACAAACCCCTCTCCCTGACCCTCTCAGCTCAGATTCAAGTGAGTCTGTCTAACCTTTGTGACTAATGAACAGAGGGCAAATCACAACAGGCTCTTTGTCAATGCTATTATAGAGACTGTTGACAGCTGAGACTACAGTAGTACCTGATAGCTACTGTACAACAATATATTTGCTTAACTTTCAAATGCTTAAGAAATATTTCTGATATAAAAGAAACTGAATTACAAATATATTAGGCATTAGAGATAAAGTAGTCATAATTCCCCCAATTACTGCTAAGACCAATCAGTGTTACTGCATTTACACTACCTCATCCTTTGAGTAATTATGGTACCATAAATAGGCACACATATTACAGAATAGTAATTGAAGAAATATACATATGCTTTTTCAAATAAATATACAATGAAAGATTTTAATGTTAATGACATTGTTACATTAACCAGAATGACCAGAAAATGTTTGGGTAAATTTCTAAGTGAAAAATTATATTATTCTAACTTTTTATGTTTCTCTTTAGTTTGATTTTTTATATCCCAACAGTACAAAACATATACAACACTAAGAACTGCAACAATATTACAAGAAATAATGCAAACATCATATGGATATTCCACTGTTAAAGTATTGATACTTTTGTTAATGAGACCTGTGGTTACATTAGTTAACAAGAAGAAAGAGAGTGGCCGACGGTTGATGGAAGCCAAGGTAGGTGGAACACACAATACAGGTGACAGTGTTTCCTCTATCAGTGAAAAACTTGCAAAACCTATTGAAGTATATGTCATCTGGAAAAAGACAATATTTTGCTTTTTATTATGGTGCAAATTACTTCTATAGAAAAAAAAAAAAATTCCTAGACAAAACTACCAAATAAAAGTAATAATTTTAACAAATGAATTATTATAGAGTACCATAATGACTAAAATCTATTATAATAAAGAGTGTAGCAAGGTGAAGTGGTGTGGAGCCTAATCTTCATCACAGAGGCAGCATATGCTCATTTGCCAGGTCTGTAAGGACATGGCTAATCTGAATGCTAGCAAACAATAGATATTAGGCATAAGTGAATTTTATAAGCCAGAGGGGTTTTCATAATCTACATATTAAAATGGTTCTGGCTATCAAAGACATGAAGCCATCGATGCCAATAAGGGTACTTAATAAATCAATCTATCATCAGCTATATGATGAAACGAAAAGAAACAATACTGCTTAAACTGCCAGAAGAGGTTAAAAATATATATATATATGTTCTTGAGACCACTGCAATGGATCTGTTACTATATCATATATATTAGCAGACCCACCCTTTACAATGCTGGTTGCAAAGTTTTGCATGGTGAAAAAGTGTCATTTTTTGCTTTCAAGTCAAATTTGAGGTCTACAACCTACAGTAGTAATAAAGATCTGGCACGGTTTTCTTTCAGTAAAGTTATCTAGGGTTGTCATTGGGACTTTTTTTCAATTTGTTACAGTATACTTTACGGTAATATCTTAATCTATATGTTCAGATATTAACCCCAAGGATCTGGGTGATGTGACCATCATGTCATGAAAATATATGTCTGAGGACTGACTTGCAGGAATATGCCATTAAGAATTTTTTTTAATGAGGACTGAGGTGATGAGACTGAACTACCTTGAGTGCAAAAAGCTCTTGAAGGCTGATTAGGCTCAGCAGGCAATTAGGATAGGGCTTTTGCATTATTTCCTTTGGTACACAAGCATGGAATGTACTATCTATAAGTCATGACTGTAAGAGAGCCAGCACAAAGGAGGACACTTTTTTATGCTCAGGGACCTATTCCTACTTGTTGTAGCAGGTGGCACAGAGTGTATTACAAAATTGAATATTACAAAAATAGTAAAAAACAACAAACAATAATAAAATGATCTTTATTGTTATTACTATTATTGCATCAAGGTATAGATTATCAGAGATGATAAGGAGTCTTTGCATATACAATGACAAATATAGACCTTGGAAAATGGAAAGAAAGCAGAAAATGCTTATGTTGAAAAAGAGATAATACCACTGCAAAGGGAGGCAAAAAGTTTTAACACAGCACAAGGGTATTTCAGTGGGCTGGGCCTACAAGCCATACACACTTGTGTGGGTAGTGAGGCACCTGGATCCAAAGGGTTGATTCTCACTTCAAATTTTATGTTATTCTAAAGACCTGTTAATACTTCTGGATTTCAATGTTATTATAATGTTCAAGGAACATGGGTGGTATCTAGCTATTGAAATGGATGTAGAGATATATCAACAAAGTAACATTAAAAAGCTTTCTTTCAAGAAGTTCATACTTACAACAAAAGTAACAAAGGTAGGGTTGCCAAGTCTACGAGATGGCAAGTCCACATAATGACCTAAAACAACCACGGAGATGCTGAAAATGGCAGTAATCACAAGAAAGGATGTAGAGAGCTTCTTCCCCTCATTTCTGTAAAGAAAGAAAAAAAAATAGATTTTCAAATATTTAAAGGTGTTTTTTTTTTAACTGAAATAAATATTCTGGACTACAGCCTTATGTTTATTGATTGCCATTTATTTACATAAAAAATACTCTCTCATCACATACTATCAATCTAATAGTCTATCATTAATCTAATATTCTACCTTTATTCAGTTTACATACTTGAATATCTGAAAACACACAATTAAATCCATATCTAAGGAATAGTTATTATTTATTTACAGATAATCACTGAAAATAACCAGATTCATAAATCAGATATACTAACAATGAAATACAGATCAGTTTACCTTCTCCTGAATATGTAGTTCCCCATTGCAGCACCAAAGAAATAAATAGCCATATAACCAGGCATTGATACAATCCATTCTCTGTTTGCAGTGAGAAGATTATCTCTTGGAGCATTACTCAATGTCCATGAACCAATATGGCCAGCAGTTAATAAAATGTGATGGCAGAAACACACCAAAATTGCTAGTAAAGTACCTGAAGACCAGGTAAGGCGATATACCCACCATGAACAAGCAGCCTAGAAAGTAAAAAATACAATGGTTACTTTTTACAGATAACAGTATATTGTAATGGATACAAGAATTTAAACATTATGGTCTTATACAGATCAGAAGCAAAACACTTACACATACTGACTTGCAGAGGTGAATTACTTTTTAAAACAATTGTCATATACAACATTTAAAGAATATACACTTTTTTATACTTCAGACTGTTCATATGTAATTTTAATGTCCAACACCCACCAATAGGTCTATCCATGTGAAACAGTTACACAAAAATACAAGATTATTGGATTTTCTTACCTTGGTAAAGGCCAGTGTGAAGAAAAAATTGCCATGTACCCCATACTCTGTTACATGATGCTGGTAATCTGACATCTGAACAAACACGACTCTCAAGAGACCCAAGATGGCAAGGACAAAAGCATCAACCATCACAGACCTGAATAAAATGGAACTACTATTGAATGACAGTTTACATTAAATGATTCTGTAAAGCAAAATCAAGTTTAGTCTTTGCCCGATAACTGTAAATGATAAAACATATCAATTTCAAAGCGGAGGGGGAGGAGCAGTAAGAGGAACTGGTAAAGAGAATCATTACAGCATCTCAACATAAAAGGTTAGAAAGAGATATTTCTATTCTTGCATTCTTGTACTAGAAAGTTTTTAACAGTCCGAGGAACTTACTTGTAGCACCTTCTCTTCCGACCCTCAACAAAACCATTCACAACAACAAATCCTCCAGCTCCCACATCCATTACGCTATATCCATATTCTTCTGTTTTGGCAAATCTGACAAATATGTAAAAAAATAAATGCTTTGAACACATATGTTTCATGATAAAGATAATACTTGGCATGGATTATATGCATGTATTTTCAACAAACTATCTATAGAAATACAAAATACCTAAAAACATATATATATATATATATATATATATATATATATATATATATATATATATATATATATATATATTTCAAAATTGTACCACAAAGTACAGATTAACTGTGAGGAAATATAATTTCTTTACCTCCTTGGAAAACTGTGAAAATCCACACCCAAGATAGCAACAGCTGTATTTACATTCAAAATAGCTCTCATTGCAGTCAAACATGCTAAGTGCTGTAAGAAAGGCAACATTAAATTTAATAAGGAATTCAATCAGAGAGATATAATAATGTGGCTGATTACATAATCTCACATGACAAACTGCAACATGGTCTAATAGCTAATATTTTTTATGTATCTGAAAAAGAAATAATTGCTTACACAAAACTATACAAACAATCAAACTCAAATATTATATCAATTCTCTCACATATATCTGAGAATAAAAACAAACCTTTGAATTGTTGAGAAAGGAATCCTGTAGTGGATGAGATGTACATACTAGGACTAAACCAGCAAGCAATATCTGCACTGCACTCACTTCCAGGGTATAGTTTGCCAGTACTGTAAATCCAAGTGTAGGTGGAACAACCAGTAAAAGACTATCTATAAAAAACCAAAGCCTGTAATGGGAGAAGACAAAAAAAATGTAAACACAAGTCAGAGAAGCTGAGATTCTGTGTAAAATATCCCTGGTAATATAATAGTATTACCCATTGATTTTACAAACTAGAAACTCAAGACATTAATATATTTTAACATAAATTACTATTGTATTGGATAAAGAGATGCAGAAGAAAACTACATGATTAAATACAAAATAAATTACTCTGTTAAACACCTGAACATATTCTGAGCTCTATCATATGGTCTCTGAATCTACTCAATGATGATGATGATGATAATGGTAATTGATGATGATGATGATGATGGTGACTGATGATGATGATGGATGATGATTGAAGATGATGGTGATGATTGATGATGATGGTGATAATGATGACTGATGATGATAATGATAATGATGATTACTGATATTGACTGATGATGATGATAATGATAATGATGATTACTGAAACTGATTGATGATGATGATGATGATTGATGGTGATGATGATGAGGAGGATTGATGATGATGATGATTGATGAGTGATGATGATGATGGATTGATGATGACTGATGATGGTAATGATGATGATGATAATGATTTTTGATGATGATGATTGATTGATTGATGATGATGGTGATTGATATTGATGATGATGATGATGATAATGAATATCAGAGATGCATTTAATACATCTTCGTCTGGTATGTATTTCTAACAAAGATATATTTGAAACTGGTCAAATACATCTCTTGCATTGGGAAGATATTCATTCTCATTCATACCTTTTCTACATTTGTCAACATGAATACAGTTCATGATAATGAAAGTTAGTGACAGTAATAGTGATAGTGCCAGTAATAGTAATAACATTAAGAGTAAGGATAATGATGACAATGAAAGTGAAAGAAAACCAAAACAAAAAGAGAAAAAAAGGAAAATGATAATGAAAATAGAAATTAAGATGTTGATAAAAATAAAAATAAGAGAGAAAATTAAAATGAAAAAAAAGAAAGAAAAAAATTATAAAATTAGTATTAATAAAATAATAATGATAACAATAACAATGATGAAAATTGCTCCAACATAATGAAACAAATTCCTTTTCCATTACTTACCATCCCATACGTCCCTTCACAAAACAAGCAGCAAGAAAAGATGCAGGAATTACAGGAAATATTGCCAATATAACATCAATAGCTGTTGAACCAGTGTGTCCCGTCACAAAAGCCTCATGGGCTTCTCGCACTGATATGGAGTCGTTCATGATTGACTGTTGAAAAAAATATCAAAGTGAGTAGGGATATACCTTAATAATATCAGTGTCAATTCTGGTTTAATTGTATTATTTTTTAGGTGGTATTCTACCTAATGACTCACTGTTACTGATCTGATGGGCAAAATTCATGCTTTTTCATAGCATATGATAGATAACAGGATATATGGACAGGGTCTAGCAAGAGCCTGACTTGAAGAATTAGGAAATTGGTTAGTTCAACCAACCTTCCCTTACATTGCAAGTCAATGGTCAGCCACATGTCAAATAATGAGATATTTTGTCAAAAAGTATTGCTTTTCTTCTACTATTACATGTTAACCATAGTTGGCTTACTTGACGTGCTGGCCAGTCATCCTAGTTTTAGATTCGAATCATATATTATTTTTCGTCTAAAAGAAGGTTGGCAGAAAATTGGCCTGTACCGTTATAATAGATATCAGCATAATCACAAATTTGAACGCTTTCCTCGTGATTTAGGGAACATTACCAGTATACTCAAGAGTGAGTCCCGTTTTGAACACTTCTATAAGATCCTTCTTATCATTTCTTAGAATGCCCGATCCCTACAGCATCTTAGTGAGCATTTGTACGTGTTATTTTTGTTGGTTCAAGAAGTTATGGTTGTTACTTAAATAATATATGCGATTACCACTCTGACCAATTTGTAATTCAACATGAAAATTGAAGCAGCATCAAATTAACATTTAAGTAACAAGATGACCATTTAGACAGTCGGCATCAAAATGTGTTTTAGACACAGTAAATATTTCAAAATAGGTTTGTTTATGTCAAGCAATATGCGAAGCCGACTCTGGCCACAGACCTACACGAACGCGAGAATCGTGTAAATAAATTTCCGTCTGGCGAATCCGGATCCGGCTGTGGCCTCGGCGAACGCCCGCGTGATGTAAACAGCTAGTCGTCGCCCGAAAAGCGCAGTGCACACGTCTAGATCTGTCCTTTGCATTTCTGTCACAAGAAACTGTTACGATGTTGGCCCACTCTATGTTGGCCAGCTCTATTTGCTCAGGCTTGAGGAATGCATTTAAGGGAAGAACTGGAGGCATTTTCGCACGATTTTTGGGTAAGAAATTAGGTTCCAAAATATTGCATAATCACGATTATATATCTTACACTGGATAATCCTGTGCAGGCTATGCATCAATTGACATATATTGAATATACTGTAGATATACACGATTCTTTTTGGTTTAAGTTACTGAAAGCGACGCAGGTTGAGATTACGGAGACGGACGCACAAAGATAGAGTGAAATAAAATGCGTAGAAGGTAGGAAAGGGTGCCTCGCTCTCAGCAACAATTACCTTTTTAAACAATTTTGTACATATTTCAGGGGTTTACAGGAGTTTGATGGTACTTATTTCCTAATTACATCTGAGTAAAACAGTTCTTTAAAAATAATGATACAGGTCAAATTCCATACAGCCATTGTTTAGACATAATAATATATGCAAATGATAGAGCGAGTGATTCTAAGAAACTTATCTTCTATGATCAACTGCAGCTCAATAATAATGAAGTTATTGGACACGTAAGTGTCCCAGAGCCCATTATGAAAAACTATGACAATATTCATATTATCAAATTAATTCTAGTGTAATGAGAACGAATCTGATGATCATTTCCATCGCAGTTACAGCCAACAATCTTAATGTGATAAGTAATGATAGCAGGAGAGGGCATGAAGTATATCTGGGAAATTACAGGGTAAAACAGGCTGAAATAAGAGGCGATTATTCAGAATAGCAGCTCATAATGGATCACGATTTTGTCATTGATAAATTTCTCTCATTCTTTAGTATAGAAATATATTGAAATTATTGCATGGAATCCCCTCCATTTGCACCAATCATACCTCTGATAACAGGGGAGGGCATGAAAAGTACTAGGGAAATTGTAGACAATATATGAATAATATTCTCAGAATCAGTCCCTATATTGTCTAATGCAGGGAGCTGTGCCCCCAGTGGATACCCTATGGGTGTGTCTGATGCACCTTAACACCTATCTCATGGGGGTCTGATGCGCCCCAGCACCCATCTCATGGGGTTCTGATGCGCACCAACACCTATATCATGGGGTTCTGATATACCCCAACACCCATTTCATGGTGGTCTGTTGCGAACTAACACCCACAATGGAACACAGTAAGTGACCAAGTCTGTCCAACACTCTCTCCTGACGCAAATACATGGAGTATTCCTTATTTTCCCCGGTGGGGGTCAGAGGGCAGCAGATCTCATGTGGGGGGTAGCACAGGGTACAGCCCCCTGTATTAGACAATATAGTGACTGATTTTGTGTATATTATTTATATTTCAACCTGGTACCCTTCATGCCCTCCCCTGCTATCTGGGCCAAGAATGTGGGAGCTTGCATGGTTCCTGCACAATTTCAATATATTTGGATACTAGAGAGTGATAAGAAATCATTGACCCAAAACATTGTCATGATCCATTATGAGCCGCTGTTCAAAAAAGTTACCAAATAAGAATTAGAACAAAAATGCATAAAAACCAGCACAAAAAATACTGAAAATCTACTAGTGAACTTAAGGACGTGCTGGCATCTTTGAAAGCCTTTTGAGCAATGTGCCAATTTTCAGGAATTCTACCCATCCAAAGCTCCCAAGACCACCACAATCTTCATACAAAATGTCCCAACCAATAAACCAACATTGCCCTACCTTGATGTATTTATACAAAGCATTCTACATATTCTCTAGTGAGCAACCTGAAACGGATGGGGGGATATAGTTTGCTCAGTCAAATACTGCATTTGGTTCTGCAAATAATTTGCATACTGAAAAGCACCTTTATATAATGAATCACCAAAATTTTCTTAGCTTCTGTTCACTGGCTGAATTGCTTGGTTTCTAATCACTTACTTTGGTATTTAGGGCACTTTGATGGGCTTAGATATCAAGCTGTAATAATTTCTAATACCTATTTCTTCTGCATAGCCACTATATTTTAACCCGTTGAATCCATTTGCATCATGGAAATCATTGCCGAAAATACAAGCAGTGGATTACAAAAGTAGGCAACACCCATGAGTGGTGACAAAGCTCTGTGCCTCCCCTTCTCAAAGTTGTTTTAGCTTTTTTTGTCATTTTTACAATGGCCATATTTGTCTTTTGATTTGCTTTATCCAGATGGTAATAGCTTATTTCCTTTGTACAGACTCCATATCATATGTCTATGTAGTAAATAACTCAGTGCAAGAAAAAGAAAATATGGAACATTTGGTTATTTGTGTTGTATGTTATTTTTTTATAATTTTCTATTTTCTGAAATACAACCTATGCTGCTGGTGACAGCAGCCAGGAATACGGTGCTCAGCATAGAAATGGCATCCTTCCTGGAGACTACTCTCTTCCAGTCACAGCTTACACACCTTACATTCCACATTCATTTATTTATGGGAATAATGCTAAAGCCCCCTTCTAAGAACCAAATGTGTCAAATCACACTCCAAGAGATTTGTGCATTTGCGGCAAGTCTTCCCTGTCACCCAGGCCTTCGCTCATGACGGCAAGTTCACGTCAACCAGCCTGCAGCCATTTTGTCTGATGATGGCATGTTCACTTAACCTGGCCCTTGACCCAGATGACATCATAAGATCAGCCTAGGATTTCAAATGCCCATAAGGAGTTATTAATTTGCCACTTTTAGCATGCATGTCAAGGGTTACCCACTTGTTTTCTTTTATCTTTAAATTTTCATTCTAGATGTCATCCATAATTTCAGTAATTAAATCATTATGCACATAATAGATTTATGATATATATTTATTACTACAGGCACTTCTCATGTTCGAAATGTAGCAGTGGGACAAGCTGAGGTTGAATCTGAACTGCGTCCCTTGTACTTAGATGCCCAGGCCACCACTCCATTAGACCCACGTGTACTAGATGCTATGTTACCTTATCTTACGCACCAATATGGAAATCCTCACTCTCGCACTCATGCCTATGGTTGGGACAGTGAGAAAGCAATGGAAAAAGCTAGACAGGTAAGGTAGAGTATTTGTAATATACCTGAATTCTTAATACATTGTCTCAGAACAAAAATAACAGGTTTTAATGTGTTCAAATCCCTATAAACTGATATTTATGTTTGCTGTACAGATGGAAATCTTTGTTTACTTATTTATATTTTTCTTTTTCATTAGCAAGTTGCTGAACTCATTGGGGCAGACAAAAAAGAAATTATATTTACATCAGGAGCCACAGAGAGTAATAACATCAGTGTCAAAGGCGTTGCCAGATTTTACAGGTCCAAGAAACGCCACGTAATCACAACTCAAACAGTAAGTTGGTATCTAAAGTGTATAGCTTTTAATAAAAGTATGTTTGTGTATGTGCATGTGTGTGCAAACATGCAAGTGAATCTGTGTCTTTCTGCATTCACACATATATTGGTTTTGTTTGGATTTTAAGATTTTCATTTTGAGATAAAGTCTTTGTTTAACCCAGAGAAGCTGGGATATCAATAATTTATGCCATGTCCACTGTGATTTTAGTTTACTAATTTTCTTACACATAGATGGCTCAGTGAGTTAATTCCTAGCCCAACCTGATCTCACCTGTTTGCCCATTTCCTTTATTTTTTTATAGAATTAATTCTTTTATATCTTTTTCCCTTGGTATTGATAATATGATTTTAATAATCCCAATGTCAGTAGTGATTATAGTAATAATACTAGCATTGAAAAATCATAAGAAAATTCAAGGATTAGGGATATATCTACTTTTTGACTGTTTAGTGACTGAGCACAAAAAAAAAAAAAAAAAAAAAAAAAAAAAAAAAAAAAAAAAAAAAAAAAAAAAAAAAAAACAGTGGACATTGAAATTACTTTGCATCAATGGGTTAAAGATTTCAAAATCTGTCCAATCTCCTTGTGAAGCATTAGGTGTATTTCAACAGGAACATAAATGCGTCCTAGATTCCTGCCGTGCTCTTGAAAATGAAGGCTGGGATATAACCTATCTTCCAGTACAGTCAACAGGTCTGATTTCTCTTGAAGAACTAGAAGCAGCCATCAGACCTGATACTGCACTGGTGTCTGTTATGATGGTTAATAATGAAATTGGAGTTGTTCAGCCTGTCAAGTAAGTAAAGAGGATATGCTTTGAGATAATATTGCATTAATTTATTTTTCAAGCTTGAATGGGTCTGGGCTGCAGTAAATTAATCCTTGACAAATGAGAAATTCTAAGTTATATCCATTAGGTTATGTTATGAAATAGTAGAGGAAGTATACTGATTGAATTATGATAAAAAAAAATACTTACACTTTTATTGTCAGAGATACAGAAAAGAAAATTATGTTGTATATGAGATTATTTGTATATTTGCTTGAATCTTCATTTCTGATAAAAGTAAATGTATCTTTCAGAGAGATAGGTGCATTGTGCCGCTCTCGCAAGATATTTTTCCACACAGATGCTGCTCAGGCTGTGGGTAAGATACCCATCAGTGTGAATGAACAGAATATTGACCTAATGTCTATCAGGTAAAACATGTTTAGAAGTGTAGTGTTCGAATTCATGTCCTTTTTATTTGTCTTCCCCCATTTGTTCCCTTTTAAAACCTCTAAAAGATCCTTAAGGCCATTTTTCTTTCATCCCCATCTCCTCCCCCTTCAGAGACACTATATTAACAAAAATTTTATTTGGCCTTCTGTTTTATCATATAACTTTCATCTAGATGCTTTTATATATTATGGTTTTTGTCATTTGAGATTTCACTTATATCAATATAAAAATTATAAAACAAGGAATATTTTGCACCAATAAAATTATTGAAACATTCACATGTACTTCTTTTTCAGTGGTCACAAGATTTATGGGCCCAAGGGCATTGGTTGTCTATATGTGCGCCGCCGCCCCAGGGTACGTGTAGAGGCCTTGATGAGTGGCGGTGGACAAGAACGTGGCATGAGGTAATTGTTCCTCCTGTCATCTTACTATTTTCTATTATAGTGTTTTTTATTTTTGATTAATAGAATATACCTCTTCTCTTTTTTGACTTCATAGGACTATATTGGACAGTTATGATTTTGTCAGGAATCTGAATGTCAAATTTATACCTTTTGTTTAAATGCTCTACTACCTCATATCATATCTTAAATCATCCATGATGGGGTAAAATTTTAATAATGTTTGGCATTAGCACATGCTACTTCAAGCCTGAGCTTATGGCTAACCAACAAGACCCAGGTGCATGACATGATTAAACATGTAGGAGTTTTGATCATGAGATGATTGGACATAACCTAGTGGCAGTGAGCAAATAGTATTTTCTTCTTCTTCTTCTTCTTTTTATAACATGAATCAAGGACAGAGAACTCACCCTCCATTTCCACTGTATCTCCAGATCTGGAACTGTGCCAACCCCTCTTGTTGTTGGCTTAGGTGAAGCATGTGAAATTGCAAAAAAGGAGATGGAGTATGATTCACAACATATAAGAAAGCTGTCAGACATACTGGTTCACTCTATTACGTCAAGAGTGCCCAATGTCATCAGGAATGGTGATACAGAACACACGTACCCTGGCTGTGTAAATCTCTCCTTTGCTTTTGTGGAAGGTGAGAAAAGCATTTGAAAGAATGGAGGTAGCAGATGTTCTGTGCTAAGGATTATGCAGTATTTCTTCCAGAAAACTGTTTCTAGAATTCTGTTAATGTGTACTGTTTCATTTATTCTAGGTGAAAGTTTACTGATGGCACTGAAGGACGTGGCACTCTCCTCTGGGTCGGCTTGCACTAGTGCCTCTCTGGAGCCTTCATATGTTTTAAGGGCCATTGGAACAGAGGAGGACCTGGCCCACTCATCCATTCGGTTTGGCATAGGACGATTTACCACAGAGAAAGAAGTTCAATACACAGCTGATAAGTGTGTGGAGCATGTGAAAAGACTAAGAGAAATGAGGTGAGTAGTATGATATTTTAGGATATATATATTGCCTTTTGGTATGTGCAATTGGCTTCTTTTTCTTGAAGGTGTTTTTATATTATCTGAATCTTTTAAGTGAATGGGATTTATACTGGCAAAAGATGAATACATTTGATAGCTTATTCAGTACAGTTTTGGATCATTTAAAAGGAAATTTCTATTTCTGTAGCAAGCAGAATTAGGTTTTATATGAGTTTTTAGGTAGTGTGAATGGAAAATCTTGATATAGAATAATAGCTTTGACATATATATTGTAAAAGAGGAAGACTTCGGTTAGAAAGCAAAATTATGTTGTTTTGTAAAGTATTGAAACTTATTCCTATAAACATTAATTTATATTTTTTGTGCACCTTTACAGTCCTCTGTGGGAAATGGTTCAAGAAGGCATCGATCTGAAGAGCATCCAGTGGTCACAGCATTAGCACACATAACAAAAGTGTTTGCTTGTAACCAGTTGTACTATAGCTGTTTATTGTTTTTGAGATCTAAATGAAAATTAAGATTGTAAATTGTGTGCGTGTGTGTGTGTGTTTGTGCGTGCGTGCATGCGTGTGTGTGCACACGCATGCATGTGTGTGTGTGTCTGTATGTGTGTGCGTGTGCGTGTGCGTGTGCATGTGCATGTGCACACACACGCACGTGATTACTGTACATTTAGATACTATGTTTATATATTTTACCAAGACATTAAAAATTCATTTGTGAAGATCACACAGGCCTGTATTCACTCTAGTATGCATATTATATCTATTATCTTTGCTATTGTTTGACTGTTTATTGATTATACATTAACCCAATGGACCCGGATGCTTTCCTACCATCAAGTGGCCCAAAATTGGGCATTAGGCTTAACCCCTTATGAACTGGTACAGCTATAGCCATCATGACATCATGATGTATGAGGTAAATATGCATCATGACTTGCTTTAATGAGCAAGTTAGTGGGCCAGTTGTACATAGCACACACCCTGCCAAAAAGGCTATACTGTCGTGTAATGATTACTTCTCAGAAAATTCTGGCCCTGTCATGATAGGATTTAGTGAATGGCCACTCTGACAGGTGTGCGGCTTATAGGCCAGGCGCATGTGAACACTTGTGCACAGTAACATGACCCCATGCCTCCCCTTTGCAATGTTATTTTGTTTTTGTTTTTACATAAGCATTTTTAGCTTTTATGCCATTTTCCTGTCTATATTTGTGACATGATTTGCTTTATTGAGATGATAATACACTATTTTCCTCATACAGACTCCACTTCATTGCTCTAGGTAGTCCATAACCCTGTGCAATAATAATAACTATAAATAACAATTTGTTATTTGAGTAATTTTGAAATGTTTTTTGGGTAATATTAAATTTTCTGTAATACAACCTGTGCCACTGGTCATGGCGGGCAGGAACAGGATCCTGAGTATGTAAATTGTGTCCCCCCTGGAGCTGGTGCTCTTCCAGTCAAGGCTCAGAGACATTTCATTCAACACTCGTTTATCAATGGGAATAATGCAAGAACCCCTTCCTAAGCACCAAATGAGTCTAATCACCTTCCAAGAGTTTTGAGTCTTCTCCATCTACCTAGCCTGCAGGCAAAATGCTCACACCTGCAAGTTCGTGTCACCCCAGCCTGCAGCCAAATTTTCCTATGATGGCATGTTCACATCACCCTCCCCCAAGCCATATTTTTTCATGACATGATGGTCACATCATCTGGGTCATAGATGTTAATGTTGACAACCAAATTTTTATAGAGTTACTCAGTATTTTGTTCCATGGTGTTATAAATCTCTAACTCATACTGCAATAAAAAAGTTATATAGTAATAGATTTGATCTTTTAGTACTATTTATTGTATAGACACTGTATATAACATCTTTGGTTTGTTGTAATTCAAAAACCTTTTATAAATGTGTGTGCACTGTAAGTTCAGCCTTTTCTATATGCCTGCAAACTTAGTTGTTCATCTTTTTCACTGAATTACAGCAGCTGCAGGAAGCTAGATAGGAAGCATGTCAAAGAGGTTTCTCTCATACTCCATTCTCTAGTAATGTCGCTTGCTCAGCCCCTCCTCATCCCTTCCAAGATGTTCCTACACCCTCCCCTATACCTACTTACTTCCTCAATTCCACTTCTCCATCCTATCTTCCCCAGTCAAATTCTTTTGCCACTCTAAATCCAGACACTCCAATCTCTACTACAGCCCTAACACCTTCCCCTCTCCCTCCCCACACTACCCACAGTAAACAGTCTAAACGTTCCACCCCTTCTCCTACTACACACTCACCTCCACCTACCTTTGCCTTTACTCCTCAGACACCAGTCTCCCTTTTTCCCTCCTCATAAGAAACCTTTGTCTCACAAAACTCTCCAACCAACTCCACTACAGAAACTATGGAAGATATTCAAAACTATCTGCTCGAGTCACAAAGTGACACCGGAGAAACCCTCATCCATCCTCAGATTCCACAACTCCTGCTCCCTCCACACCCAAAGTGACTGCCAATATCCATCTTCCCAATATCCATCCTCCTCCTACTCATATTCCCCCTACACCCCTTTTTCCTGCTCCCTCCCAACATAACCCATCCCCCTCAGCTCCAACTACACCTACATTAACCTTCCCTCCATCCATTCCCCCCCAATCCCTTGCCCGTTGTTGTCGTGGGGGGGCTTAGGAGACGAAGACTGAGACCCAATACAGGGATCTCCCCTGCCTAGGGCCTCAGCCCTCGACTCAACTAATTTTGCATGGTCTTTTTTTTTTTCTCCAGCTTTTGTTTCCGTCTCTTCTCCATCCCCTTCTGCTATCTACTTCCTAAGGTGTGAGAGCCGTGCTGAGAGGATGAAAGGCTGACCTAGTGCCAGTCCTGAACGGCCTGCGGGAACTATGGGCACGGTACTCCTGACTAATCTAGCCCTTACCTTCAGTAGCGAAAGGAGGTGGACCGAATAGGCCTATTTACATAATCCAGGTTCCCCATGACCAGTAATGAGAATGTAATCCCTTTATTAGAGGCTATGAGGCTAGCCCCTTTATCAAATAGCCCCAACCCAGGCTCTCCTTTGACCACGGCTCCGAACACTGAAACTACTGCCCACTCCTCAATGCCTACTAGTGCATTACCCACCCAAGCAGAGAATCAATCTACAGAAGACATTCCTACCCACCCAACTTCCTCAATTCAACTCCACCCCTGCAACCTTCATCAAACAACCAATCCTCCCTTATTACTACCTTGCAACCTTATTCTCCATCATTCCGTAATACTCCCTCTTCCACACGTCCCCGACTATCCACCACCACCAACCCTACAGATATCTTAAATACTCTGTTTAGCCCAGCTAAATGGGACCGATTTTTTCGTGATCCCTGCTACAGCTCCTTACTCAGGCAACACTCTTCTCTTTCAACAATGCCTCCAAAAACAAGTAGGTAGAGTGCCTTTCTATACCAGACGCGATCGCTCCCGTCTGGTAACAGTCAGATCAGAAACTGAATCTATAGCATGTCAAATTTAACTGATCATTCTGGCAACCCCATTCCTGCAGAACCTCATGCAACCCTTAATACCTGTACCGGAACTGTCTCTCTCTCCCCAGCAAACTGCCAGTCGATACCAAAGATTGGTCAGACTGTGGAGAAGACTTATTAGGATGCCTCAAAGACCAAGATGTGAAATCAGTACATTGCTACACCATTCCTCCTAAAGGTCAACGAAAGAATCCAACCAATATTGCCAAAATTACCTTCTGTACACATGACCTTCCCTTACGTATCTACATTGGTGGACAATCCCTCCTGTTCGACCATACCAACCCCCTCCACGTCAATGTCAAAACTGTTGGCGCTTTGGACATCCTGCCAAACATTGCCGTTCCACAGACCGATGCCCCATATGTGCCCAACCTGGTCATAATCGATCAAACTGCTCAGCACAAACAAGAACATGTGCTAACTGCGGCGGCCCCCATAATGTATTTTATAGAGGCTGTCCCACTTACAAATTTGAATCTGAGGTAGCAACTCTCAGATACAAAAATGGTCTCACTTTACGTGAAGCCAGACAGGAAGCACGTCGACAAGGTTTCTCTCATACTCCATATTCTAGCAACATCGTTCGCTCAGCCCTTCCCCCTCCACCCAAAAATGTCCCCATTTCCACTTCTACATTCTACATCCCTCAGACCAATTCCTTTGCCACTCTAAACCCAGACACCCCAATCTCAACCACAGCTCTATCTCAACTACAGCCCCAACACCAACCCCTCTCCCTCCCCGCACTACCCGCAGTAGACAGACTAAACGTTCTAACCCTTCTTCCCCTACAGCACAATCACCTCCACCTACCTACACCTTTGTTCCTGAGACACCAGTCTCCTCTTCCCCCCTCATAAGAAAACCTTTATTCCACAAAACTCTCCAACCAATTCCATTGCAGAAACAATTACCTTCTCACAAAACTCTCCAACAAACTCCACTGCAGAAACAATGGATGACATTCAAAGCTATATGCTTGAGACACAAAATCCCATAACTCATGCTCCTTCCACACTTGAAGTGGTTGCCGATATTCATAACCCTCCTACTAATATTCCCCTACACCCCTTCCTCCTACTCCCTCCCAACACAACCTAACCCCCTCAATCCCAACCACCACTGATATCCATCCTCCCAATACCATCCTTCTGATATGCATCCCCCTCTTACTCACAACACCCTACACCCTTTCCTCCTAATCCCTCCCAAGACAACACATCCCCTTCAACTCCAACTATCCATCCTTCTGATATTCATCCTCCTAACACTAGCACTCCCCACACATCTACTCCCTCCCAACACAACCCACCCCTTCAACCCCAACTATAGGCACATTCTCCCTCCCTCCACCCCTCTATCCTTTGCACTCCCTCCAGGATACACACGAGAATCACTCATGGCACAACAATGCCCTTCTCCAGACTCCCTACCTCCTAATATACCTCCTTTACACCCCTAGCTCCTTCCCCTTCAAATTCCCCAACACGTAAATGTGTTATCATTCATAAATCAACTAGGGTATAGCTCTCCTACATTGGAATATTCGCGGTTTCCGCTCTCATAGATCAGACCTACGTCATATCCTTGCTTCTTATAATCCATCTATTATCTGCCTCCAAGAGACTTTCCTCACACACCCTCCTATTCCAATTCCTAATTACCATTTTATCTCTTCCCACACTCCCTTTATGTCTCGTCTATACTTATCCATCATAAAACACCTTATGTCATACCTCCCATACAAACTTCGGTCCCGTGCACAGCTATTCGCATCTTTCTTCGCCGCTGGATCACAGTGATTTCAGTCTACTTCTCCCCATCCCATCCCATTGACTTTACTGCCTTTGACACTCTAATTTCCCAACTCCAACCACCTTTCCTCATAGTTGGTGATTTCAACTGCCGCCACACTCTGTGGGGTGACTCTACCACCAACTCCCGAGGCCGATCTCTAGAACGCTTCCTCTTCACAAATAACCTAATTATTCTTAATTCAGATCGCCCCACACACTTTGACATGCGCACACAATCCTTTTCATGCCTTGACCTCTCTCTATGCTCTCCTACTTTACATCTAGATTTCCATTGGTCAGTTCTAGACCACTTCCCCTATAGTGACCACTTCCCAATACTTCTTTCTCCTACTTCATATGTACCACTTCCTAATCCTCCACGCTGGTGCTTCGATAGAGCTGACTGGCATACTTTCACTGCACTCTCTACTATACCTATCCCTCCACCCCCTTACTGTTTACAACAACGATCCTAAGAGCTGCCTATACAGCCATTCCTCGAACTTCAAGACCCTATACTTCTAAATGTGTTCCATGGTGGAATTCTGATTGCTCCAAAGCGCTCCGCTTAAAACGAGCAGCCTGGAACAGCTATCGCTACAAACGAGGCACCCCTCACCAGCTATCAGCCCTTATTTCCTTTAAAAGAGCATCTGCCCATCTTCGCCGTACAATTAAAGACAGCAAAACAAATAGCTGGCAAAATTATGTTTCCTCAATTACATCTTCTACATCTATTTCAGCTGTTTGGCGACGGATCCATAAACTATCAGGCAAACATCCCCCCCATCCTGCACCCGTCCTCCATATTCGAGATATTCTCATCTCTGAGCCTGTAGAAGTAGCTAATGAACTGGGCAACTATTTCAGCCAGGTCAGTAGTGGCTCTCACCTTTCCCCACACTTTTCTTCCATTAAAACCATCAAGGAGCGCACCCCTATTACCTTCACCCTATCCTCTGATGAGTCCTATAATGCCCCTTTTTCTTCTTCTGAACTCAACGCTGCATTACAGTCGTGCCGCAACACTCATGAAGGCCCTGATGGCATTCACTATCGTATGCTCCGACACCTCCCATCTTCCTCTCTATCCTTCCTTTTAACTATTTTCAACCACATATGGACGTCAGGAAATTTTCCTTCTCATTGGCGAGATGCTCTCATCCTACCTTTCTTAAAACCCAATAAATCAGGTACCCTCCCCAAGATTACCGCCCCATAGCTCTAACTAGCTGCTTGTGTAAACTACTAGAACGAATGGTTAACTTCCGTTTAATGTGGTACCTAGAGTCTCATAATCTCCTTTCCCCTTCCCAGTTTGGTTTCCGACGTGCCCGAAGTACAGCAGACCCACTTGCCCATTTTGAGACATACATTACATCGGCATTTGCACGCCATGAATCCGTATTAGCTATTTTCTTTGATCTAGAAAAAGCATATGACACCACATGGCGATACCATATCCTCCAACAATTGTCCTCCCTAGGTTTACGTGGAAACATGGGTGTTTTCATTAAATCCTTCCTTTCTAAACGTACTTTCCAGGTCAAGATTGCCTCTTCCACTTCATCATCCTTTCCTCAATTCGAAGGA